AGAGCCATAGGATGAAGGGTAATGGTTTTAAACTGAAAGAGGGGAAATTTAGATTAGACATGAGGAAGAAAATCTTTGGTGTGCGGGTGGTGAGACACTGGAACTGGTTGCCCAGAGATGTTGTGGATGCCCCATCCTTGGAGGGGTTCAAGGCCAGGCTGGATGGGGCTTGGAGCAACCTGGTCTGGTGGGAGTTGTCCCTGCCCATGCCAAGTGTGTTGGAACTCAATGATCTTTAAGGTCCTTTAAAACCTGAACCATTCTATGATTCAAGTCTAGAAGGACTCTCTTGCTCTTTGCAGGTATAGTTGTGCTCTTGTGCATCATTGTACTATGTTGGGAAAAGATGTTTCTCGTATGGGTGGATCATGCCTAAGAGCCAACACCAGCAAACTGTGCTTGAATTCCTACCTCTTTCAGCATCCCCAGACCTTTCCCATCACCTACCCACACTGGATCCACACTGTCACGACTTCACAGCATGTGTCAGAGCATTGCTCTGCACTGTCGCAGCCAGAAGAAATAACACCTTCTCCTGGTGACTCCCATCACATCCACCTGTGCAATCTGGCCACCCTGCACACCCGGTAGCCTCAGAATTGCCCAGAGAGGAGCACGGTGCAAGTTTTCCCCAGAAACTCCATGCTTTCAAAGGGAAGGAAAGTAAGAAAACGTGTGTGAGAGATGGACACCTGGAATGTATAACAAATGGCTCTACTGCCGTGTGTCTGACAACCCAGCCTGCCGGGGGTCACTCATGGCGCCACAGCAATTTTTCAGCGTTTAACCCATCCCTTCCAGCCGTGCACAGAGGAGGGGAAATTCATACATCACGTGCCGACAGCTTTTTCCTTGCTGCTGGAGCTTTAGTTGAGATCCCCAGCAAAGCCACAGGTCAGGGAATGCTTTCCTGTGCCTCATGGAGTGAAGGACAGGCTCGGTAGGGTATCAAGCTGGACTAGGAGCTCCTCCTCGTGTGTTTTAGGCAAATAGTGCCTGAGGACCTCCTTTTAATGAATGGTTAAAGCAGCAAAACAATGAGGTAGGGACCATTTCTAGGGTCGTCTGAAGTCCTGGTCCTTCTGTTTCTTATGAGTTGGTTCTGGGTGGATCCTTGCTCAACTCCAAACCTATCTCCAGAGCCAGGTTGCTCTCCTCACTGGGTAGACAACTACTGTGGAGGGACCTGAGGCTGCCTGATGTGGTTCTTGGTGTTCAGCAGGGACAAAAACCTCAGGAGGAGGGGAACTGAGCTTATTCTCTGACTTTTTGGCTGGAGTGAGCTTGGGCCGGGAAGGGCAGTGAGAGTGAGATTAAAATAATTCCTGCTCTGTTATTCCTTTGCCCCCCCAGATTCCCTTTCCTAGTGCACATTATGAAGGAGCTGAGCTGTGAAAATCAAGATAAGGCATACTTTGAGTATGGCTTTTATTGTTATTTGTGTTGGAGTTGGGGTGAAATGCTGACTTAGGTAGTTGGGAAGCTCTAGCTCTGACCAAAACCCTGTGCATCAGTGATGTGAGGGCCTGAAAACTACCATGTAAGCACATTTTATCCTTTACTTATGACCTATGAGAGAGTTTGCCTGATGAAGGCTGTGCGTCCAGCTCAGCAAGACTTGGACAGGCTGGAGAGCTGGGCAAGGAAGAACCTCATGAGGTTCAACAGGGAAAAGTGCAGGATCCTGCACCTGGGGAAGAAAAATGTCAGGCACCAGTACAGGTTAGGGGTGGACCTGCTGGAGGCAACTTCTGAAGAGAAAGATCTAGGGGTCCTGGTGGACAGCAAAATGACAATGAACAAGCAGTGTGCTCTTGTGGCCAGGAAGGCCAACGGAATCCTGGGCTGCATAGGGAAGAGTGTGGCCAGCAGGTCAAGGGAAGTCATTCTCCCCCTCTACTCTGCACTGGTGAGGCCACAACTGGAATACTGCATCCAGTTCTGGCCTTCAAGAGGGACAGGGAACTACTGGAGAGAGTCCAGCGACGGGCAACAAAGATGATTCAAGGATTGGAGCATCTCCCTTATGAAGAAAGACTGACAGAGCTGGGACTCTTTAGTCTGGAGAAGAGAAGGCTGAGGGGAGACCTTATCAATGCCTACAAGTATCTCAAGGGTGGGTTGAAGGAGGATGGAGCCAGACTCTTTTCAGTGGTTCCCAGTGAGAGGACGAGGGGCAATGGGCACAAGTTGGAACATAAGAGGTTCCACTCAAATATGAGGAAAAACTTCTTCACAGTGAGGGTGACAGAGCCCTGGAACAGGCTGCCCAGGGAGGTCGTGGAATCTCCTTCTTTGGAGATTTTCAAGATCCGCCTGGATGCTCCTGAGTAACATGCTCTGACAAGCTCTAGGCAATCCTGCTTCAGCAGGGGAGTTGGTCCCTTCCAACTCTAAAAATTCAGTGAAATTCAGTGATATTTGTCAGGCACGATTTGCCCTTGGTGAAGCCATGTTGGCTGTCTCCAATCACCTCTTTATTTTCCATGTACCTTAGCAGAGATTCCAGGAGGATATGCTCCATAATCCTTCCAGGCACAGAGGTGAGACTGACTGGCCTATAGTTCCCTGGGTCTTCTTTTTTTCCTTTTTTGAATATCAGGGTTATGTTCCCCTTTTCCCAGTCTGCAGGAACTTTGCCAGACTGCCACGATTTCTCAAATTTGATGGAAAGCGGCTTAGCAACTTCATCCACCAGCTCCCTCAGGACCCATGGATGGATTTCATCAGGTCCAATGGACTTATTCCCCTTCAGGTTCCTTAAGAGGTCTCACATCTGATTTTCTTGTACTGTGGGCGATTCTTCATTTGCAGAGCCCCTGTTTTTGCCTTCCATGACTTGGGCAGTACGGTTTGAGCCCTTGCCAATGAAGACTCAGGCAAAGAAGTTGTTCAGTAGCTCAGTCTTATCCATATCTTGGGTGGCCAGGTCTCCTGTTTCCTTCCAGAGAGGGCCCACAACTTCCCTAGTCTTGCCTTTGTCCCTGACATATCTATAGAAGTTTTTTCATTACCTTTGATGTGTCCCGGGCTAGATTTAGTTCTGCTTGGGCTTTTGCTTGCCTGATCTTGTTCCTGACAACTCGGGCCATTTCTCTGTATTCTGCCCATTCTACCCGGCCCTGCTTCCACCCTCTCTAGGCCTCCTTTTTGGTCCTAAGCTTGTCCAGCAGTTCCTTATTCATCCACACAGGCCTGCTGGCTATTTTGCCTCACTACTTCTTTTTTGGGATGCACCTCTCCTGCGCTTGGAGGAGGCGATCCTTGAATACCAACCAGCCCTCTTGGGCCCCTCTCCCCTCCAGTTCTTTTTCCCATGCTATCCTCCCAATCAGATCTCTTAGGAGACCAAAGTCTGCTCTTCTGAAGTCCAGGGTAGCGAGCTTGCTGCACACCCTCCTCATTGCCCTGTGAATCTTGAACTCCTCTATTTCACGATCACTGCAGCCGAGGCTACCCTTGAACTTGACATTCCCCACCATTCCCTCCTTGTTAGTAAGGACAAGGTCTAGCACAGCTCCTTTCCTCGTTGGTTGCTCGATCATTTGAAGAAGAAAGTTATCATCATCATTACCTTTGATGTGTCCCGGGCTAGATTTAGTTCTGCTTGGGCTTTTGCTTGCCTGATCTTGTTCCTGACAACTCGGGCCATTTCTCTGTATTCTGCCCATTCTACCCGGCCCTGCTTCCACCCTCTCTAGGCCTCCTTTTTGGTCCTAAGCTTGTCCAGCAGTTCCTTATTCATCCACACAGGCCTGCTGGCTATTTTGCCTCACTACTTCTTTTTTGGGATGCACCTCTCCTGCGCTTGGAGGAGGCGATCCTTGAATACCAACCAGCCCTCTTGGGCCCCTCTCCCCTCCAGTTCTTTTTCCCATGCTATCCTCCCAATCAGATCTCTTAGGAGACCAAAGTCTGCTCTTCTGAAGTCCAGGGTAGCGAGCTTGCTGCACACCCTCCTCATTGCCCTGTGAATCTTGAACTCCTCTATTTCACGATCACTGCAGCCGAGGCTACCCTTGAACTTGACATTCCCCACCATTCCCTCCTTGTTAGTAAGGACAAGGTCTAGCACAGCTCCTTTCCTCGTTGGTTGCTCGATCATTTGAAGAAGAAAGTTATCATCAATGCATTCTAAGAACTTTCTTGATTTCTTGTGTCCTGCTGTGTTGTCCTTCCAACAGATATCGGGGTGGTTGAAGTCCCCCATGAGGACCAGGGTGTGAGAGCACGATGCTGCTCCCATCTGTCTACGGAGGGCCTCATCCTCCTGGTGACTCTGATCAGGTGGTGTCTGTAGCAGACTCCTACTGTAACATCACCTGCCCCTGTGGTCCCTTTAATCCTGACCCATAAGCTCTCTGTCAGGTCTTCATCCATCCCCAGGTGGAACTCCACACACTCTAGCTGGTCGTTGACATACAGGGCAACACCCCCTCCCCGTCTACCCATTCTGTCCTTCCTGAAGAGTCTGTAACCCTCCATTCCAACACTCCAGTCATAAGAGCCATCCCACCACATCTCAGTAATGCCAATAAGATCGTAGCCCTGGAGGCGTGTGCACATTTCTAACTCCTCTTGCTTGTTCTCCATGCTGTGTGCATTTGTGTAAAGGCACTTCAGCTGGGCGCCCAGTGGGGCTGACTTACTGGCTGGAATGGCTCCATTTCCTTTGTGTTGCTCTTCAGGTGGCCTTCCTTCATGGTGTTTTGTCTGTGATTCCCAGATTCCCTTTGCCTCAGGAGCCTCAAGGACAGGTCTGATGTTATCACCCCCTTCCCATCTAGTTTAAAGACTTGTCAATCAACCCTGCCATCTCTCGGGCCAGAACTGTCTTTCCCTTTTCAGAGAGGCATCTCCCATTTCCTGTTAACAAGCCCGGTGCCATATGGGCCAACCCACTATCAAAGTACCCAAAGTTATGGTGGTACAGCCTGTTAACTCCAAGTTAACTACTGACTTAACTGTTGACATGCAAGGAAGCAGCAGGAGTAACTTACCAGTATAAATGTCTATTCTTGTGGCATCTGCATCCCTACAAAGCAATAAAAACACAATTAGTATTCAAATCTCAAATAGAAATGAAGCTAAAATCCAGGCACATGCAATAATTTCCAAAATTAATTGGCTGCACAGATCGAAATCCAGAAGTCAGTCTTCTGGACTGACTTGTTGGTCAACACATACAGATAAGTTCAAAGACATATTGTTCTACTTTTTGCCCACTTGAACCCATACTCCAGCACAAGACATTGCTGCCACACAACTAAACCTAGTTACAGCTAGCATCACAGGCTTTTTAAAAAGTCATATTAAGGGAGGCTGAGGAAATCAAATAAACACATACATCTAAGCTCCCTCCTGTACAAAACAAGCAATACCTACATTTTTTTCTGTCAAACTGCTTATGAAAAGTTTAGTAACTCCACATAAAACTCCATCCAAATACATTCAAGTTGTCACAGGAAATTGCATCCTTACAAGATCATTTAAGTAAAGCCCTTCATACACCGTGCATCCTCCTCTGTGTTTGAAAAAGCAGCATACATAGGACTACTGTTCTCTTCCCAAAACCAATTTTTAATATTTTTTTTCATGTAGACCATCACGTACCCTTGGTTTGCTGATCAGAAGAGTGCAGTTGTAGTGCTGTAATAAAACCCCACTTCCCAATGCCAAAGTCACTTTGTCTTGTCTTTGTATCTCCAGCCAAGCACGCTACCTCCTTCCCCAGCGGCCAACCTCTTTTGACAGAGGAAGAATCAAGAGGTTGAACAGAAAACCACCCACTGATCAATCTCAAAGACGCTACATTTAACTATGTTGTAGCAAAAGTGAAAACGGAAATTAGGAGCGCACATGGCTGATTCCCTACACAGAAATCTCCCAGCTTCAGCTCCCGCACTTATGAACTGCATAGTGTGATAATTTTTTATCAAACATGAATTATCTCAAAATATTTCCATAATGCCACATCAGAATATTTTGTGAAGCTCAGGAGGTAAATATGCAAGGTTTGAGACACAGCTGTAGTCCATATTCCCAAATGCAACCATGAGAAGTGTGGCCTTTAAACCTGTGATTTCCAAATACCAAGTCTCCTCTCCAGTGTCATATTGCTCAAACTGTTCTTGCTCTATTTTTCAGCATCCCGCTTCTGATTTCATTTTCATCCTATCATCATGCTTGATCCTGAGTCAAGGATTATCAAGTATCTTAAGAGTCCCAGCTCCAGTAATCACTATTTTACTAACTTATTTAAACAAAACTGCAGACTTATTTTTTTCCTTAAATCTATCTTGTGTCTTCTAACCATTTCCTTTCCAATATGAGTTGTTTTATGATTCAGTCAAACTTACCTTTTCAGGAATAATACTTTTTTTTTCAGCACGGTGCAAGTTTTCCCCAGAAACTCCATGCTTTCAAAGGGAAGGAAAGTAAGAAAACGTGTGTGAGAGATGGACACCTGGAATGTATAACAAATGGCTCTACTGCCGTGTGTCTGACAACCCAGCCTGCCGGGGGTCACTCATGGCGCCACAGCAATTTTTCAGCGTTTAACCCATCCCTTCCAGCCGTGCACAGAGGAGGGGAAATTCATACATCACGTGCCGACAGCTTTTTCCTTGCTGCTGGAGCTTTAGTTGAGATCCCCAGCAAAGCCACAGGTCAGGGAATGCTTTCCTGTGCCTCATGGAGTGAAGGACAGGCTCGGTAGGGTATCAAGCTGGACTAGGAGCTCCTCCTCGTGTGTTTTAGGCAAATAGTGCCTGAGGACCTCCTTTTAATGAATGGTTAAAGCAGCAAAACAATGAGGTAGGGACCATTTCTAGGGTCGTCTGAAGTCCTGGTCCTTCTGTTTCTTATGAGTTGGTTCTGGGTGGATCCTTGCTCAACTCCAAACCTATCTCCAGAGCCAGGTTGCTCTCCTCACTGGGTAGACAACTACTGTGGAGGGACCTGAGGCTGCCTGATGTGGTTCTTGGTGTTCAGCAGGGACAAAAACCTCAGGAGGAGGGGAACTGAGCTTATTCTCTGACTTTTTGGCTGGAGTGAGCTTGGGCCGGGAAGGGCAGTGAGAGTGAGATTAAAATAATTCCTGCTCTGTTATTCCTTTGCCCCCCCAGATTCCCTTTCCTAGTGCACATTATGAAGGAGCTGAGCTGTGAAAATCAAGATAAGGCATACTTTGAGTATGGCTTTTATTGTTATTTGTGTTGGAGTTGGGGTGAAATGCTGACTTAGGTAGTTGGGAAGCTCTAGCTCTGACCAAAACCCTGTGCATCAGTGATGTGAGGGCCTGAAAACTACCATGTAAGCACATTTTATCCTTTACTTATGACCTATGAGAGAGTTTGCCTGATGAAGGCTGTGCGTCCAGCTCAGCAAGACTTGGACAGGCTGGAGAGCTGGGCAAGGAAGAACCTCATGAGGTTCAACAGGGAAAAGTGCAGGATCCTGCACCTGGGGAAGAAAAATGTCAGGCACCAGTACAGGTTAGGGGTGGACCTGCTGGAGGCAACTTCTGAAGAGAAAGATCTAGGGGTCCTGGTGGACAGCAAAATGACAATGAACAAGCAGTGTGCTCTTGTGGCCAGGAAGGCCAACGGAATCCTGGGCTGCATAGGGAAGAGTGTGGCCAGCAGGTCAAGGGAAGTCATTCTCCCCCTCTACTCTGCACTGGTGAGGCCACAACTGGAATACTGCATCCAGTTCTGGCCTTCAAGAGGGACAGGGAACTACTGGAGAGAGTCCAGCGACGGGCAACAAAGATGATTCAAGGATTGGAGCATCTCCCTTATGAAGAAAGACTGACAGAGCTGGGACTCTTTAGTCTGGAGAAGAGAAGGCTGAGGGGAGACCTTATCAATGCCTACAAGTATCTCAAGGGTGGGTTGAAGGAGGATGGAGCCAGACTCTTTTCAGTGGTTCCCAGTGAGAGGACGAGGGGCAATGGGCACAAGTTGGAACATAAGAGGTTCCACTCAAATATGAGGAAAAACTTCTTCACAGTGAGGGTGACAGAGCCCTGGAACAGGCTGCCCAGGGAGGTCGTGGAATCTCCTTCTTTGGAGATTTTCAAGATCCGCCTGGATGCTCCTGAGTAACATGCTCTGACAAGCTCTAGGCAATCCTGCTTCAGCAGGGGAGTTGGTCCCTTCCAACTCTAAAAATTCAGTGAAATTCAGTGATATTTGTCAGGCACGATTTGCCCTTGGTGAAGCCATGTTGGCTGTCTCCAATCACCTCTTTATTTTCCATGTACCTTAGCAGAGATTCCAGGAGGATATGCTCCATAATCCTTCCAGGCACAGAGGTGAGACTGACTGGCCTATAGTTCCCTGGGTCTTCTTTTTTTCCTTTTTTGAATATCAGGGTTATGTTCCCCTTTTCCCAGTCTGCAGGAACTTTGCCAGACTGCCACGATTTCTCAAATTTGATGGAAAGCGGCTTAGCAACTTCATCCACCAGCTCCCTCAGGACCCATGGATGGATTTCATCAGGTCCAATGGACTTATTCCCCTTCAGGTTCCTTAAGAGGTCTCACATCTGATTTTCTTGTACTGTGGGCGATTCTTCATTTGCAGAGCCCCTGTTTTTGCCTTCCATGACTTGGGCAGTACGGTTTGAGCCCTTGCCAATGAAGACTCAGGCAAAGAAGTTGTTCAGTAGCTCAGTCTTATCCATATCTTGGGTGGCCAGGTCTCCTGTTTCCTTCCAGAGAGGGCCCACAACTTCCCTAGTCTTGCCTTTGTCCCTGACATATCTATAGAAGTTTTTTCATTATCTTTGATGTGTCCCGGGCTAGATTTAGTTCTGCTTGGGCTTTTGCTTGCCTGATCTTGTTCCTGACAACTCGGGCCATTTCTCTGTATTCTGCCCATTCTACCCGGCCCTGCTTCCACCCTCTCTAGGCCTCCTTTTTGGTCCTAAGCTTGTCCAGCAGTTCCTTATTCATCCACACAGGCCTGCTGGCTATTTTGCCTCACTACTTCTTTTTTGGGATGCACCTCTCCTGCGCTTGGAGGAGGCGATCCTTGAATACCAACCAGCCCTCTTGGGCCCCTCTCCCCTCCAGTTCTTTTTCCCATGCTATCCTCCCAATCAGATCTCTTAGGAGACCAAAGTCTGCTCTTCTGAAGTCCAGGGTAGCGAGCTTGCTGCACACCCTCCTCATTGCCCTGTGAATCTTGAACTCCTCTATTTCACGATCACTGCAGCCGAGGCTACCCTTGAACTTGACATTCCCCACCATTCCCTCCTTGTTAGTAAGGACAAGGTCTAGCACAGCTCCTTTCCTCGTTGGTTGCTCGATCATTTGAAGAAGAAAGTTATCATCAATGCATTCTAAGAACTTTCTTGATTTCTTGTGTCCTGCTGTGTTGTCCTTCCAACAGATATCGGGGTGGTTGAAGTCCCCCATGAGGACCAGGGTGTGAGAGCACGATGCTGCTCCCATCTGTCTACGGAGGGCCTCATCCTCCTGGTGACTCTGATCAGGTGGTGTCTGTAGCAGACTCCTACTGTAACATCACCTGCCCCTGTGGTCCCTTTAATCCTGACCCATAAGCTCTCTGTCAGGTCTTCATCCATCCCCAGGTGGAACTCCACACACTCTAGCTGGTCGTTGACATACAGGGCAACACCCCCTCCCCGTCTACCCATTCTGTCCTTCCTGAAGAGTCTGTAACCCTCCATTCCAACACTCCAGTCATAAGAGCCATCCCACCACATCTCAGTAATGCCAATAAGATCGTAGCCCTGGAGGCGTGTGCACATTTCTAACTCCTCTTGCTTGTTCTCCATGCTGTGTGCATTTGTGTAAAGGCACTTCAGCTGGGCGCCCAGTGGGGCTGACTTACTGGCTGGAATGGCTCCATTTCCTTTGTGTTGCTCTTCAGGTGGCCTTCCTTCATGGTGTTTTGTCTGTGATTCCCAGATTCCCTTTGCCTCAGGAGCCTCAAGGACAGGTCTGATGTTATCACCCCCTTCCCATCTAGTTTAAAGACTTGTCAATCAACCCTGCCATCTCTCGGGCCAGAACTGTCTTTCCCTTTTCAGAGAGGCATCTCCCATTTCCTGTTAACAAGCCCGGTGCCATATGGGCCAACCCACTATCAAAGTACCCAAAGTTATGGTGGTACAGCCTGTTAACTCCAAGTTAACTACTGACTTAACTGTTGACATGCAAGGAAGCAGCAGGAGTAACTTACCAGTATAAATGTCTATTCTTGTGGCATCTGCATCCCTACAAAGCAATAAAAACACAATTAGTATTCAAATCTCAAATAGAAATGAAGCTAAAATCCAGGCACATGCAATAATTTCCAAAATTAATTGGCTGCACAGATCGAAATCCAGAAGTCAGTCTTCTGGACTGACTTGTTGGTCAACACATACAGATAAGTTCAAAGACATATTGTTCTACTTTTTGCCCACTTGAACCCATACTCCAGCACAAGACATTGCTGCCACACAACTAAACCTAGTTACAGCTAGCATCACAGGCTTTTTAAAAAGTCATATTAAGGGAGGCTGAGGAAATCAAATAAACACATACATCTAAGCTCCCTCCTGTACAAAACAAGCAATACCTACATTTTTTTCTGTCAAACTGCTTATGAAAAGTTTAGTAACTCCACATAAAACTCCATCCAAATACATTCAAGTTGTCACAGGAAATTGCATCCTTACAAGATCATTTAAGTAAAGCCCTTCATACACCGTGCATCCTCCTCTGTGTTTGAAAAAGCAGCATACATAGGACTACTGTTCTCTTCCCAAAACCAATTTTTAATATTTTTTTTCATGTAGACCATCACGTACCCTTGGTTTGCTGATCAGAAGAGTGCAGTTGTAGTGCTGTAATAAAACCCCACTTCCCAATGCCAAAGTCACTTTGTCTTGTCTTTGTATCTCCAGCCAAGCACGCTACCTCCTTCCCCAGCGGCCAACCTCTTTTGACAGAGGAAGAATCAAGAGGTTGAACAGAAAACCACCCACTGATCAATCTCAAAGACGCTACATTTAACTATGTTGTAGCAAAAGTGAAAACGGAAATTAGGAGCGCACATGGCTGATTCCCTACACAGAAATCTCCCAGCTTCAGCTCCCGCACTTATGAACTGCATAGTGTGATAATTTTTTATCAAACATGAATTATCTCAAAATATTTCCATAATGCCACATCAGAATATTTTGTGAAGCTCAGGAGGTAAATATGCAAGGTTTGAGACACAGCTGTAGTCCATATTCCCAAATGCAACCATGAGAAGTGTGGCCTTTAAACCTGTGATTTCCAAATACCAAGTCTCCTCTCCAGTGTCATATTGCTCAAACTGTTCTTGCTCTATTTTTCAGCATCCCGCTTCTGATTTCATTTTCATCCTATCATCATGCTTGATCCTGAGTCAAGGATTATCAAGTATCTTAAGAGTCCCAGCTCCAGTAATCACTATTTTACTAACTTATTTAAACAAAACTGCAGACTTATTTTTTTCCTTAAATCTATCTTGTGTCTTCTAACCATTTCCTTTCCAATATGAGTTGTTTTATGATTCAGTCAAACTTACCTTTTCAGGAATAATACTTTTTTTTTCCCCAAGGGGGTAGATGTGACAGTATAAGACCAAGGGAAATATTCATACTAAACTACAGCAAAGTCTTCTATTTTGTATTTTTTGTAAAGTCTACTGGAAGTGAAAATTGCTCAAGACCAACAAATAGACAAGCCAATTAAATCTTAACCGAATTTACCTTGGGAATTACACAGTCTCGGAGACATACCTGGCATTATCTACAAGTTCAGCAAGGGCACCAAACAAGAACTCATGGGTAGTTCTGCAATGAAGCACAGAATCAGAAGGGTTACTGTGATGTTTAAAAAGAGAGACCTTTAAATGAACCAGAATCTCAACCACATTTTAAACAAATCCAATTGCATGTCTACAATACTAACATCTGCCACTGACAGCAAACTAGAAATGAGCGTTTTACCATCTACCAGAGGCAGACTCACAGCAAACAGGCTGCCCCATGGAGTCTGATTCAACAAATGACCATCCTAAAAAACATCACATGGTAAACAGACACAACAGAGAAAAATCATTGACCTAATGAACCAGCCTACGAACTAGTCAACAATTCATATAATTCCTTAATTATTCACCACATTGACAGGTCTCTTCATAGCAATTAAATGCTGTGTATATGTGAAACCCAGACAGATAAAAGCTTCCAGATCCTGGGAGACTTCCAACAGCTGTAAATGCTCCTAATCCAGAGAAAGGCAATCTTCTGCCACCACCGTACCCCACCACCTTCCAAACTCAGTGCTAAAATCATCTAGCCAGCTGCCACTTCAGCACAATCTCAACAGCCATCTTTAGTTTCCAGCCTCTTCACTGCCACCTTTTATAAGCAGAAGTTGTTTGAAAGAGATGAGTTGTGTGCCTCAACCTTGAAAGAAGATACATGGTGAGAAAACTTTTCATTACTATATATTGTCTGCCAACATTAATGTAGTATGTCCACTGAATGCCCAACTTGGTGACCTATCTTCAGCATCTACCACTTATTTCAAATGTAAATGAGTCACATGGACTCCAATATTAGCAGCCCCTGGAGAAACATTGCTGGAATTTGTTGCTACTCTAGGATGCTCAATGAAGAGATTGAGTCCTCAGAAACTGTTTTTATCGCTATGTTTCAGTTTGCATGGAACATCTTCACATGCAACCTGCTTTCACCACTACACAAAAAGGCCAACAAGTGATCAAGGAGAAAGTGATACTTAATCATATTTTCAGCTTTGAAAGATCAGATACACAGGTACTTCTCACACAGAAAATATATAGCTGTCCATAACGCTAATAATCACAAAATGAACTTTCATATCCATCTTCAATGACATCACATCGAACCCATCAACACAGCTCCAATCCGAGGGAAACCACATCAGCTTTCAAAGTTATCACTAGAACCATGAGAATGGAGATTTCCATTCTCGAGGAGACAGAAGGGAACGGTGTTTTGAAGACTATCTTCCCAATCGAAAGCTTCCACAGACGCTCAAACCTAGCATTGTTTCTTTTGGGCAGGACTTCCTGGGCACAGATCTCAAGCACTCCCTCGAATTTATGAGCACCTATTCAGCTCCACAGATCAACATCCCAGAAGTTTATTTAAGTACTAAGCATGCTTCGTTAGCAACTTTTAGTCTACAATTTAAAGAATGCTTCAAACTAAGGAAAAGATGCAAAAGAGATACAAAGAGGCATTTCCAAAGAAAGATATTGGAACAAGATAGCTGAACACATAGCTGCAGATGATAAGAATAGAGGCAAGATAAAACACGATTTCCACGTAGCCTGACACCATACTCAACTTGAGCATCTACCAAAACTGGAACCTCTTGTGCTGACACAGGCAAAGCGAAACCTTGCTACAAGCAAGCAAAATCCATTCCAGCTACTTATCACTAACAACAATTTATATATGCTGTAAATATCTTCTATTCAGTATATTAATCTCAACACTTACACTAATCTTGTCAATATCTAATTAAAGTCACATGAAGTGCTTTAACATGATTCAATCAACCCAGTTTTAACAGAAACCATGCTCTCGCCTTACAGTCAAAAGCACCTGAAATACTTGAACTCCATCAATATCAACTGGCAACAATTTTCCTCCACCTCACAAAAACCCCTTGGGACTATTTTACCTGCATGTTTAGAAAACATGAGGTAAGCCGTTGGCAAAACAGTCTATCAGAACTTGCACATAACCTGGAAACTTTTAAGCGTGAGCTGGATGGGCATCATCAGAGGCAACAGTAACCTCCATCAGACAGAACACTTGAAATACAACTACTAATGGTCATACAACTGATGAAATGACACGAGAATGGAAGGGGAAGTGTTATCAAAATCTGTGGTCTTAGCAACAACTCATCCTGGCAGAAGCAGACTGGCTCAGACCTTCCTTCAACTTCCTACTTTCATTTGAGACGGCTCCATGCAGGCTTGACAAGGAACAGAACAGGGAAATCCAATGCTGCCAATTTATTGAAATTTGGGTTACAGAAGGTCAAGTTAGATGACTCTGTAGAACATGACGAATTCCAAACATGTCTACAAACAACCATTTGGAATAAAAACCCAAGGGAAGAAAAGCTTATTTTGGGAGCAGTTCTTAGAGGATCACCCCTGGTTGAACTCAGTAGGACTCCTGATCCTGCATAGTCAGACAAGGACCTAATTACTAATGAAAGACCTAAGACTTCATTTTTGTTCTGAAGGAGGCCACATCTGCAAAAACATTTAAGTTCGGCATCTGCATCAGAAACAAGAGTTCCTCTCAGTACTGCACTCCTTTTCAGGTAAGAACAGAACACATGCACAAGAAGAAACGGGAGAGCTTGCAGGATGGGGAGATGTTGGTCTGTAATTACTAGTATTCCTGAAGTCCAGCACCCAGTCATCTCAACGTGTTTCTATTCAGGTGACCTTCTTCCACTCCAGCTGTATTCAACAGGACATTTCTAGTAACAGAAAAAAACCTCACGTTCAATCACAAGCTAAATCCTACCTACCGTTAAAAGACGATTTCAACTGTTCAACTTTCAACAAATTCCTTCGATTTTGCATTACAAATATTCAAAATATGCACCAAGAAGTTGATTACGAAACCACACCTGATCCCAACCATCTCAATGAATGGCTTCAGAGGTATCTTAAAGAAGAAGCTGATTTTCATTCTAGGATCTAAAAGAACTTTCACATAAAAATCATAGAATCATTGGGTTGGAAGGGACATTTAAAGGTCACCCAATCCAACCCCCCTGCCACAAGGAGGGACATCTTCAACTAGGCCAGGCTGCTTACAGCCCTGTCCAACCTGACCTGGAATGTTTCCAGGGATGGGAAACTACCATCTCCTTGGGAAACTTGGGCCAGTGTCTCACCACTCTCATAAAAAAAAATTCTTCCTTATATCTAGCCTAAATCTACCCTCTTTTAGTTTAAAAACTTCACCCTCATCCTATCACTACAGGCCTTACCAGTAAGTCTGTCCCCAGTCAACTATTCATCAAGAAAAGTGCTTTGAAAAGCACAGTATATTTTTATTAAAAAAAAAAAAAAATATGGCAACCGAAGTGATTTAGGTACATGCTGTGAAATTTGCCATCAGACATGGATGCATTAAGAAGCTATTGAAAACAGCTGCTGCAAGTCCTCAAGTTCATGGACCAGATAAACTGGCTTCTGCTTTAAACACGTTAAAATTTTTTCTAAAGAAAGCCTTAAAAAAGGAGGGAAAAAAAAAAAGTCATGGCTTCCTTCTGCACCTCAACAGCTAGATGGTTGACTTCTAACTGCAATTTAAAAATATTTCTATCTCCATGACTATGAGAACATCTTCAGCACTGAAATAAACTTTATCTGAGATGGTATGGTTTTCCTCAGCAAAATAGAACAGTCCAAAAGACAAGAATCTCCATTATCAAAAGCCCTATGTTGTTCTTGCTTTAATTTTGGGGGGAGGGGGACATTTGCTCATTTTTTTCTTGTAGGAGCAGGGGGCTGTCTATTTGTTGTAGGTTCATTTGTGGTGTTTTGTTTGTCTTTTTCTTTGCTTTTAAAAATGACTTCTGCTGTTTCCACTCCCATTCTTAGGGAAGTACTTGGCTTATACATTGATCCCCATAATCTCAAGAGGCGCTTCGCCCATGAGGGACAAAAATCCCTGGCTTTGGCTTGTTCATACACATCAGCTTTCAGCTCCATGTAACAATTTTTGATGCAGTTATGCATTGCAGACATGTAGCACACTGGAAGTAGACCGGCAGCACTTGCAGAACAGAAACTATGGTGGCAACATGAAGTAGCTTTAACATTTAATAAATACTTCAGGGCAGCAACAACACATCAGCCTTTGCTGCAGCACAGACATTATCTTCTTATGAAGACAGCCAGAGTTCTGGTATTCTGCAGGCAAACATAAGCTGCTGACAGAGCTCTACCATACTGTCTTCTAAGCTGTAAGTTTTCTAGAGCTGGATATGAGAGTTTCACAAATCAGAGACAGCACCAGTATTCTCCATCACTTTCAGGCACCAGACTGTTCACTCTACATGCAACCGTTGCCAGCCAAGACACAGAATGCAGACCCAAGGGTGACACCAGGCTGTTACTAGGTTTCTTCTGCACAAAATCCATTACTTTCTTCATCTCTAAAAGAAATGGATCAATAACGCTTTTGGCACACATGAGATTTGTCTTAGTTGCTCTTGTAGGTGTATCCTCTGTTACCAGCAAAACCAGTCAGATCTACTTTGAAATCAAGTCTCCTATATTTCTGTGCATGACAAGTCTTTAGATTGATGCATACCACTGTGGTCCTCCACTCTTAGGCTTTCCTTCACACATTGAAAAATGAAAGCAAAAAGATAAGCCTGCACTTTATTTCTTCTTCTACTGATGGTAAAAGTCACTCTTCCACAAAATGCTGGAAGACAATTTTATGCCGGTGATCAGCTGACAAAGGATGACAAAATGCCAAGTGTGGTTCACATTGTTCTTCCAGGCTAGCTCAGCCAGAACAAGCTCTTTCTCTAAACTCTTCTGTACGTGGCACCATAAGGCTTATGTGCAATAGGCAGGTCTCAGATGGGTGCTTAACCCTGCTAAGCACCGTTTCCTGGTGGCGCCTCCCATTTTCCAGACATGCATTCAGAAGTAACCCAACTTAAAGAACTTTGCCTTTTCTCAGGAGACCTTATTTTAGGGGACTCAGTGACATGCAAAAGCCACAGCAGCTCCAAAAAGCTGATCAGAAGATCATTTCTTGCTTCAAATTTACCTGCACAAAATGTTCAGGCAGAAGTGAGCCGCGGCCGGCACGGGTGCTTTCCCAAAGAGGTATAGCTGTAGGGGTACAGCCGACCCAGGGGCTACACCCTCCCCGGTGAGCCCCCGCGGAGGCCCGGCCCCTCCACACACCGTTATTCCCTGCGGACCGCAAAGCGGTCACGGCACAACGACAGCCCTACCCGGGCCTGGCCGCCCACCGCCGCCGGGACTGGCCCGCGAGGCGCGGGCTGGCGGCGCCCGGGGGCC